AAAGTATGAGAGATATGTTATTAGATAACATAACATACATTTCAAGGATATTATTACTTAAGCTGGGCTTCATATACAAGTCAAAAAAAAAATATATATATAAATAAAAGAAAAAAGGGTACCCTATTGGCACTGTATAAGACCCTCTGTATGAATATGTAGTAATTGGATATACTTTCGTTTTAAATTTTAAATGACTTATGAAAAACTAGACGCACATATACTGTTTTACGGGTTCACGCAGAGGGTAGAAGTATTTTATATACTTCAGTGATGACCTAATGAACATTTTTGTAATAGAAAATTTAATTTTAATTGCCTGGATAATGATTTCATTGCAGAATATCATGCATGCGCACATGTTCGCATTTACTTATGGACGAACGGAAGCTCAGTAAATGCTGAAAAACTATTGTTGTTATATTTCTATGAGCATGCTCTTGATTAAGAAGACATTGGAAAGCAATTAATAAGCAAAATAATTGATTTGTCAGAATTTATAAATCTCGTTTAAGAGGACTTTTATCGCAAGCAAAAAAAATAAAAAAATATATATATATATATATAAGTTTAAATGTGCGGACATGAACGATGGATGCATAAGCAATTAATAAAAGTTCCTATCGATTTTCACTGTAGGCATTGTGTACAAAAGCCTTTCACTTTGACTTTTTTAGTTATTTGTTGCTCGTCACGAACTTTCTAAAGCAATTGATTAACACTTTCAAGCATTTGTTCATGTGCTTAAATTCAATTAGCTTTTCTTAAAGTTCCGAAATAAGAGACAGGAAATTGAATATCGTTCGATGTATCTTTCATTTGATACGTTAGGTTTAGATCTGTAAATAGACTCAAGTCGTACACATACTTTTGAGCATGAAATGACGTCGTCGTCGATGGCCACTTTATTTAGATTAGATCAAGTAACAGAGCTGGACGCCGCTTTAGACGCACGTGTCACTTAGCACGTAGTGGGCTGTTAGGTAACGTGGTGGTGATGATGGAAGCTCCCTACTAGTGAATCTTCTGAATTTTTTACGATATCGTTTTGATCTGATCTAACGTCGGAAAGAGGTTGGTATCATACGGATCCTATCAAGAATTCGCTAATGTCTTTTAAGAATTAAATTTATTGAAATTAGAAGAAATTCTTCAAAGGAACACAATACCAATTTCAGATTTCGCGCTAAAATATCTATTTTGCGGGAAGTCTTCCACATAAGAGTTCTTAGGAAAAGCTAAATTTTTACTGACAATGATATCCAATTTTTGGTTGTCTATGACGATAATATATGTTTCGGCAACGTGAACAATATCTATTTATGTTTTGGGACTTCCTCCTTTATGAGAATTCTGCGGAAATGCATTCCGTTTAAACACTGACGATCTCTAATTTTTGGTATTTGATGACGAAACCGGGTGAAATATTGTATTATGCGAGGTTAGCCCAGCCCGAATCTAATCTTTTACCATATTGTATATATATGCATGTAAATGTGGTAATCAATACGAAGATTCACTACAAGTCCAAGTGGGCAAACTTTGTTTTTTCCTTTATAATAGTGCGAATATCAGTCCAAAGATGCTGATTCAATTTGAAAATTATCGCCCATTATCCGTCCACTTTTCGTATATCCTGAATGTTAAGTTTTGAAGTTACTAAGATTAAGACAACAGGCCTAGCGCAACAGGCACTCATAGTTGTTGTTAAAAACCTGGACGACTTTTGCCAGGCATGCGATAAAATTTCAATCTACGAAAGCCAATAATTAAAAAAACCTACAAACCGCTTTATGGTTTAACTATCCCGCCTTTATGTAACAAACGGGTCTCGCGATTTTTCTTTGAATTGCACTTAATCAAGTCAGTATTTAATGTTCGATACAAGGCGAATGCAAACCAACTTTCTCACGCATTTTCTAACGCATTCTTTTTTTAATGCTTTTTTCTTTTCTTTTTTTTTTTTGTTTATTGTTATTTAAAATAAAAATGTTTTGTAATAGGAGAACTATTATGACTACAATGTAAATTGTTGTTTAACCTTTAAAAACCTATTTATAGAGTCTGCCATTTTCTACTTATTCTCTACTGGTTATGTAGTTTCGTTTGCTAGAGAATATATTTTTTTTTTTTTTTTTTGTAAAACAATAGACTGAGCTGATGATAGCTAAAGAAGCCTATCAAAATCACGCATAAAATTTTATACGGTTCTGCATGTGCACAAGCAAATTAATAAATACAAAAGAGTCAATATCAACATAACCGTCCTCCTTATCATCATCATAATCATCGTTCTCATCATCATCATCATCATCATCATCATTACCATCATCATGAATTTCAAGGACATTTTTATTATAGCCGTTGCTGGGGTTCCTTATAAATTTTTTGAAAAATTTAAACCAATATCGTAAGTGATGTTCCAAAAAAAAATTTATTAAATTTTTTTTTTATGTTTTTCATTTCAATAAAACATGTCCTTGAACGGCTTCCATTGTAACGTAAATTTTAAGTCGCAGTGATTTATGTTATATGAATGAAAGGAAATAAAACGAATAACGGAATGCGGCTAAAAAGTTAAAAAGAAAAATAACTTTGAACAAAAGTTTTTTTCTTCGAATAGGAAGTAATTTGAGTGAATAATGGCCAACACACAGTAGTTGTTATAAAACTAATTGAACTTTTTCGTTTCCTTAAAAAATACTTTTTGGATGGATTCATTCAAATATTTGCATTAAAGTTTAATTAAATTGTTTTTATTTAAAGGATGATTTTCGCCTTGCATTGTTGAAAGCGTGCTGCAGGTTTTACATTTTAGTTTCTCAATATTGGAGCTCTCGCGATGGTCGGTTGGAAGGATATTCTCATATATATATATACCAACATCTTATTTCCCGATCGAGAATTTATCATATATACATTATGAGATGACTTTCTGAGCTTTGCAATCAAGAAGATAAAATTATTCTTTGCTGCTTAGACCGCAAAGTACAACGGATATGAGTTGACAACGTCATTAAAGATAGAGACTGCAATTGGAGTAGATCAAGTATCAGTGTAGTGTCCATCAAAAGATGGACTCGTTTATTATATAGTAAGCTAGTTTGTGAAATATTCTCCCCCTTTGAAATATAAGAACGGAAGTACCTCGGAATGGAGGATCTCTCGGAGAGCGGAGACCTCTAATGCGTCTATTGTTATATTTCGTAATGTCGTCGTCGTCGTGTGGGGTAGCATGAGAAGACGGATGATATCGCCGGGATTTTGTAATGAACTTGCTAATGTCATTATCATTATTGCTTTCTTTTGACGTGTTTTTCCTTGTAATATCCTTGCAGTTATCATTAGAATATGACTGCATTAAATATAGCGCAGGACTAGAAAAACTATTTGCAGTAAAATTATTTACAAAGTGAAAATAAGCTTAACCACAGTTTCAAATTATCGAATTACGATACTTCACTCTGCGTGCACAAACCCACCCTTTTCTTCTCCCCTTAGAAGATAGAATCCATCTCTATCGGTGCGAGCAAATCGTTTGTTCATAAACCTTCAAAACTCATGCCAAATACAACGTTTTTTCTCCAGCGAATTTTTCTTAATCCTTTCACACGCTGGATTTCATCCTGTTATCAATTAACTTTTGTTAATCTTTTCATTAATTGTCAATTGCATAAAGCGCCAGATAATCTTACTTTTCCTACATTTTGACAGATTTCGTTTATTAATGGAATTCAACAAGGTTTATATAGATTAACTTTTTAACATATCTTCAGCTATCTGTCCACTGAGCGTTGATAGATATGGAAAAGATTAACTGGTTAACATTTCTCTTCCTCTTTTTTGCTATGTGAACTATAGGTCGAAATTTTCCAAAAATGATAGTGATTTGCAGCAATAACGTGCACAATCCAACGAGCCACACGCCAAGTCTACCCGTATATGGACTTCCCCTACTGCTCTAGTGTGCACAAGCAAAAGTTCCTTATCAGTACATAAATTACTTTGGAAGTGGAATCTGCCGACGCCCGATGGCACAACGAGTTAATTGGATAAACCATACCAGCTGCCCCGCTCTCCCCCAAAGGAGCAGAAAAATACCCACAGAAAACGGTAGTAGAATGGGAAGGAAATGGATGCGAGGTATGTGTGATGCAACTCTCGTCGGCATTGGGGACTATCTGACACTGCAAGCAAAATTTCCGGGTGTAAGAGAAGAATCTGCGGAACCACGGCACGGCATTAGTTTGCGAAGACTTATTACCATTACTCTGCTTTTTTTTGGCGGAACCTGAGTAGATTGCGTTAAATATTTCTACTGTCATTCTCAAAGTGCATGCGTCACAAAATTTCACACATTCCACACCAAACTGCGGGATATTTGCCATTGCTAAGTGATTGCGTTCGCTCGGACCTCTCCGAAGAGGTTGTCATCCATTATTCCAAAATGTTGAATATAGGAAAATCAAAGCATTACATCTTTCCTCACAAACTATAGGGTTGATTTTTTTAGTGCACGGTATACTCGTCGATTACATTGAGACGTTATGATTTGCAAATGTAAATACTATAGAGTGTGTGAAATAACTGTATTCGCTATTTCGATCGCCGTGAAAGACAAATTCAGCTCAACCGTATCTATGTATGCGACGTTTTAAATTCCGAAACCGATTACTTTACGCGCACTTGGAAAAGTATTAAAAATTCCCGTAGAACAGAGTCTGTTTTTACTCTTCGTATACCTTATGCTTTTATTCTTCGTACAGGTTATGTTATATTTCAAGCTTATGTCATGGATAGTTAGGATGGGGGATAGGAGTAGTCCTTTAAACCGTATAAAATGTTATATTACAAGTATGCATTAACTCTTACCTTTCATATTCTATGTGCGATTGATTATGTTTGCAAAACAGCATAAAAAACTGTAGGAAAACGTTAAGTTTAGTTAAATTGTCTTTTTGTTAAAAAAACTTGTTGAATTTTCAATTTCAATTACAGAAATGGAAATCATTCCTGAAGGCCGACACTTCCGTTTGGTGCAAGAATCAGAGCTTCCAGAAATATTGGAATATTTAGAGCGGTTTCTACCGGAAGCACTTAAGGTAATTTTTTTTTTTTTTTTGCAATAAAAATTTCATTACATATTTTCTTTTTTTGTTTTCTTGTACTAGAAAATAAAGAAATAAGAAAGTAAAGAGAATTTTATATGAAACATTATCTGTTAAGACACCCACTATAAACCTATCAATTCGAAAAATTGAATTTCTATGGATATTACGTCAAGGTCAACGCAAATTTAACTAACAACTAGATTAGTTTGTCTTTTACATTCAAACTTTTACACATTAAAGCGTTCTGCCACTTATGGCCATTTTTTCTTCTTTTTTTTTTTTTTTGATAATTTTGTTTATTTTCCCCCATTATGTTTGCATCTTGCATTGCGACATTAACTCAAGTGTAAAGGGAGCCCAAACACATTTGCTCCCATGCGTAAATAAATGAGTCATTGGAGACAACTAAGGCGTGTAGCAAACAGTTTAAATACAATTGTAACTTCGAAAAAAGTAACCCATCACTTCCAATAAAAGAAATAAGAAAGCTAACTAGCAAGCTTACCTTGAAACTTTTATTGCATACTCTCGACTGTAAAGAAATATAAATTGAATGAAAAGTTCTCCGTCCAGCACGTGCAAGCGGATAAAACAACGGTAAGCAAAATGGAAGCTTATGTAAGTGCCTGATAAACGCGCAATGAAAAAGTGTTTTTGATCCATATTAGACGAGTATAGCGCTGAGTGAGACCAACATTTGTCACATAATACCCTAAACGTGGAGGTTTACTCCTGGAATTCGTCCGAGAATACCAAAATTACATTAAAATTCATATTAAGACTACGGGGGCAACTAAACACATGCTTATCTTTGTTTGGCGTATAAACGGCATAAATAAGAATTAAATGTAATAGATTCTTGCATGTATTCTGATCATTTTTTCACTTCAAACGGGCATTTATTGAGAAAAGTTGGTGCAATATATTTTAGCCAAAACAGTTTCCATCATTTTCTGTATATTTACATGTTGTTCACATACAAAAATAATCCAAAGCAATTTTCATTTTCATAAATAAAATTGAGTTCGACTTATCAATAAAAGATGTAAAAGACTTAATGATGACATTTTTCTTCTCCCTTTATATGATGCAAGCAAGTGGTTCGATAAATTTATGATAAATGCGAAAATATTATCGTCTTAGGGTTTTTACTCCTTTACTTCATAATTAATAAAAATTTTAGGATAATAGAGACGAAACCGACATTTATTTATTACACCCTTTGCATTGTAGCCGAAAATCTAACTAAACACGCCAAAAAAAAAAGAGAGAAATAAATAAAACGAAAGTTCAAAGGAGACTTGACCTTTCCTTTTATGTATATTTATGGGTTAGGTGCTTCCATGTATTTCGATCATTTTTCGATTATGGCTTGAGAAAGCCATTTATTGAGTAAAATTGGTACACTGCATATTTAACCAAAATATTTTCCATCATTTTCTATAACTTTTTCCCATCTTTGTGGCAACATGGCGATCCCGTGTCGAAAGAACGATGTTGGTTTGCCAGCGATCAATCAATCGACACATTTTTGCATTTCTTCGGCATTTTAAGGCAGTGTGCCAGCCAAGCGATGCTTAATCGATTTAAGCAAGTGGTAATCAGAAGGCAGTATATCTGGTGCGTACTCTAGATGCGGCAGAACTTTCCATTCGAACTGCAACAGTGTATCCTTGCCAAGTCTTTCAACGTTTGGCCGAGCATAATCATGTAAGAGAATGATTTTGTGACTGTTACACGCGATTGCTGATCTTTCTTGCAACAATATATCATTCAATGTGTTCAATTAACGTGGATAGATATCTCCAGCAACAGTTTCATTCAGTTGTAGCAATTCGTAATTCACTACAACTTGTTAATCTCACCGTATGCATCCGTAATGTGCTGCACGTTCTCACCATATGCACAGCAAAACTTTATTTGCTTTACTTTTATGTTGGACTAATCAATGACTTTTTGCGCTTGGGATCGTCGTGGAACACCCACTTTCCATCATCAGTCTCAATTCACCAAACAAATCTTTTCTTTTTTCCTGGCAAGCCGCGATAAAACCGCTATCTTGAAATGGTTCGAATTATCATTTTCAGTCAATCCGTATGGTAGCTACTTTTCCCTTCCCTTCTATCTTTCCCATGTAAACATCTAGAAATAGTTGATTTTTCCACTACGAACGCGTTCAAAAGTTTGGGATTTCGTCTAAAAAATCTTGCAATTCCTTGTCTTCGAACTTCGTTCGTCCTCCAGGCGATTCTTTGTCATTGACATCAAAATCATCGCTTTCAAACCGTTGAAATCAAAACCGACAATTAAAATAACGCAAATGGCAGCATCACCTTTTAAGCAGCAAACTTTTAAGAATATGTGGTGGGCATCAGCAACACTTTTCTTCAAACCAAATAACAAAAGTAACGAACGTCGAAAATGAAATTTTAAGCGTTTCCCGATTAGCGTCTGTATATGCTGAATAACTCAATAATACTAAGTGGAAAAATGTTATTTCGCATTACCTTATAGGTACCGCTGCTCAAAATACATGCAAGCGCCTAACAAAGCAAGTTTACGTTATGAAAATCATTCGCTTAATGGAATAAATTTGCATGAAAATCACCTAATTTTGTGGAAAAGGAATTTTGAAATTTCTGATGAAACGAATAAAAGCTAATTCAGTTTTATGTGTCACGTGTTTGTATCGTGATAAAAAAAACACCTAACAATAATTCCCAAGAAATCCAACATCGGATAAACGTCTTTTGCATTTTAAGAAAACACATAAGATAGAGACGGGATTTTACGCAACAGCATTATTAACGATATTCTATATCGCCTACGGTGCCAGCTCATATCAATTTGGTGCAGAAGACTAACCCATCTTTTATTATGTCGACCGAGGAAGAACGCTATTGAAAATGCTGCGGATCGAAACGCTTTTCCAATAATTTCCCACATAAAATCTTATTTTAAAAAAATCTTTACCTGAATAACTATATTAAGTGAAGTGGTGTGGGCCGTGTACCACAAAACAAAATTTGAGAAAATAGTTGCTACTCAACCTGCATATAGCAATGATGAAATTTTCAGTTTTAAGCGAACGTGATATGAGAAGCAAGCAAAGACGCTTTCACCGCATATTTCGATTTTCGAACTTTTTTCGGTAAAATTTTAATTTTTCTCTCGTTTCAGTCACGCGTGCAACCAATTAGTAATTGAATGTTAAGGACAAACGAAACATGCATGACTCGAGTTTCTGGTTTCTACCAAACATTTCCTTAGTTGTACAATTTCCAAAAAAAAAAAAAAAAATAGTGTGGTTAAATGGGCAGAGAAACTCACACTGACCAAAAGAGCATACATTATGAAATGTTCTATTGGTTCTATTGGTTTTACATATTCAAATCGTTTGATACTCAGGCAGTGCTTCTAACAAGTAAGAAGTCTGCATTTACCGTGTTCACTTTAGGCGTTTATAAAGTGTGTGCATGTGTTTTTTTTTTTTGTTTTGCTCTGTGAGCTGGAGGTAGAAAATCTTCGAAAGATACTGCTGGGTCTTAGTAGCAGCATGCACGATTCGCCATCCCTGGCGCATACGTACTAAAAACTACCCCCCACACACACTTCGTGTACCACTCTCCCCCGCGGAACCACCGTTAGGTATTACTTTGCGGGGCCTGGTTGTCGCTAGTTATGTGTGTGTGTGTGTGTGTGTATGTGTGTGTGTAGGTGGGGGATTTACAAGTTTATTGTATTTAAAAGACCCGCACATGAAGGAAATAGCTTACTTCATTAATGTAAGCTGCGGTTTCGATTTCGCTATGTCCTTACCGTTCCTTACGGTAAGTAGCAATAAAAGGAATTCGTAAAACCGCAACTTTTTAGAAGAACAGAGAAAACTGATTTATATGCTTTGGAAAAAAGTAAGGTCTAAAGTAATTGTACTAATAATTTACCGTATACGCCAGTATATGACTCAGTCAAAGCTATATACAAATTTTGTGAAAAAAATCCTTTTCTTTAGGTTGAGTCAGCAAAATGTGGAAAACCACATTCTTTATGTGGCAGAGTCAAAAATAACTCCTCCAATCTTCGCAGTTACAAACCAAGGTTCCTTAAGATCTCTAAATTATTTGCAAAACAAATCTTCCAGCAAAAAATAGCTATCAGGTAGTGACATAAACACTTTATCATACTAAATCGAAATGTCAACAGACGAATAAAAAGCTTATTAGCACAAATTTTGTAAATGCGGGCAAGTTTCGAAGTGTAATCGTAAGTGTTTCGTAAGCTGCTTTAAAAAGCAATTACGAACTAATGTAGAATTGAAAAACTCCCTTAAATATTTTGATATTTTTTATGCTTCAAAATTAGTTTTAAATTTGTTTTTATTTTTGAAATAGTTTCACTTCTTTGTCTATTAACAATCATGATCTCATTTTTTTAAGATTATGCATAAAAAAAAAAAACATTGTCATAATTTATTAACAATTTGCTAAAACCAATAATAATCATATTTCATGTTTAGTTACCGTACGTAAATGACTTTCATCCGAAAGCTAAAAGAGTGGAAAAAATAGTTAATTTTCTCTATTAAATATTTGTATCGCAATCAACCCTGTGGCGTATGCGATATATATGCATTGTAAAATTGATTAAATTACTCATACGTTTATGTACGTAATTAATAAGAGAAAAAAAAAAAAATACAAGTTAGACGCAAACAATACTCAGCGTGTGTGAGAGCGCCAATCACTTTGTTGTTAAAAAGTGCAAGTGTATGCAGGAGTTAGCATACATATATATATTAATATGTATTTAGCAAACACGTGAAGATGCCTATTAAAATAAATAATCAATGCGAGTATATATATATATATATATATGTATCCAATAAGTTTTCTTCGTTCTCTTTGGCATAGGATATCCAATAAACAACTGATTTTTGGTAAAAAAAAAAATCATATCATATCTTAGAATTATAAAAGAAAGAATTTATGATT